TGTTAGGGTCATACAACTGTCCTCCATAACAAAGCCTCATTAAAATTATTCAATTATTAAATGTTTTATTCTATTATTTAATTATAATATTTTATTATTAATTCTAAGGGAAAAACTGCTTAGTGCCAGTGTCCAGCTGTACATTTATTTGAATTTAATTCCACTGATGTAAACCAAGGGTGTGAGTCATAAGATGCTGCTGTATCGATTTCATATAATGTTATGTACCTTTACGTTTACATGCCCTTAATGGTTTATATATTAGATTAGATTCAGTATTATATAATCTATGTTAAAGTGTTTTTAAGATCAGGCACTGCAAATAACCAACAATATAGTCTAGAAAAGATGATCTGGTTGTGATGGCGATAGAATTGGTAGATGATTATCACAGTGCAAAAGATGGTGTGCAGTGCAAACATAAACAGATGCATTAAAGTAATCATACAATGATCAGAGTTACAAATACTTCATGACAGTGGCGGCTAATATCAAGTTAGAGTACTAAATGGGATTCGAGTTGAAACCGTGGTTAGTATACTGTATATGGCGGTGTGTGGCTGATGGAGCTGTTCGGCGTCTGTCCGCTGGCGGCGCGGAGCGGGCTTTCTGCCCTCAATCACAGCTACTGAGTTACTGTGTGCTGAGCTTCAGGAGTCGAAACAAGCAGCCAGGATGGGAGTCGAGGTTGAAACCATTACTCCTGGAGACGGTAAATCGCATCACAAATGGGATCACATCGACAATTCCCAAGCCACAATTCTTCTATCAAAATAAGACGCGTTTTAAATCATTTTGCCTGTTTTGGGCATCACGGGCGTTAGCCTGTTAGCTAAACACTAACCTCTTCCCACAGGATTTGCCTTGCATTTTTAACATCTTCTCCTCTTGTTTTGGATTTCAGGAAGTACTTTCCCCAAAAAAGGACAGACCTGTGTCGTGCACTACGTGGGTAAGTTTGAGAAGTGACCGTGTTGATGAATCGCGTGAAGGGTGTTAGCTAGCATTAGCTGATTAGCCGCACTGACACAATAGACACTTTCGCGTCCGCGATCGGCTCATCAAGGCTGTCAATCGTTAAGATTTTAACAAGCCTTAATATTTGCTGCTACATTGATCTTTACTTATATCCACGACCGATAAATGCGTCTAACACCATATGATTTGGAAACTGTGGCCTGTTCTTGTGGACATATTGCTGTCGTTAATGATGAGTTAAAAAAATATAGCGGGAAGCCTCGCCAAACTAACGTTAGACGTTTTTGGGAGATTCTAGACGCGTCTGAACATCATATTCGAACGTTTTTACCGCGCGTATGATACTTTAGATTCGAACGTTCTGCAATTCGAATCCTCCGTGGGTGTGATTTTCAAAATGCTTTGGTCTGAACGTGCCCATGATTGTCGAAACCCTTTTGATTCGAACATCCGGCAAATATTTCCATTCAAAAGGTCATTATGCTTTCAAACCAAAACTGTTTTGATGAATCCAAGTTATTGTGATCTGCAGCAATGTTAGGCTATTTTAATAGTTGCTGTACAGTCCAAATGAATGAAAGATGAAACCAATCCGTAGTAAGCGTTTCTTAGTAATGTGTAATCGTGCGTGCGCAGGCTGACGCAGCGTCACTCATATCTGTGTTCATTCCTGTTTTTCTCAGGCTCTCTGACAGATGGACGCAAGTTCGACTCCTCCAGGGACCGGGGAAAGCCTTTCAAATTCAAAATTGGCAAACAAGAAGTCATCCGTGGTTGGGATGAAGGAGTAGCCCAGGTAATTTGAAAAATGGGTTTGATTTGCAATATAAATCTAATGGCACACCTTGTTCATAAAGTAGGTCTCGGCCTAATTGGAAAATTTCCCCTTTTGCTTCAACAGACAAGTACACACAAGCTGTCTATTAGAGGTCGACCGATAGTGGATTTTGCCGATACCGATAGCCAAGTTGGACCACACTGGCCGATACCGATTAAATTAACCGATAGTTTTAAAATTGATACTGAACAAAAACTAAAATGGTGCTAGTAGTAGTAAAAATAATAATAGTAATAGTAAATGTTGAAATGAACACTCTAACAAGGAACAATACTTACACAGCTTTCATTAATCTTAATGTTACAAATGGACTCTTATTTTAAAGTGTTACCATTTCATTTCAACAGTCATGCTTAAAGATGCACATCTTTAAATATATACACAAAGGCCATAGCATTAAAATTATATACATATGGATATTGTATGTATACTCGCAGACTTTAACTGCTTCTATTCTTGAACACTTGATGATTATCTAATCAAAATAAAAGCGCAGGGCTGAGTCTAGGAGAACTCACCGGTATCACACACACTTCAGACGCGTCGCGTTCAACTCGAGCAGCGGTCTAAAACAGTTTATTTAATCACCAAACGGACACAAGTTTACTTCAAGAATGAACAATGAGGCATAGATGAGTTTGAAGTTCGGTGTTTAAAAAAACAGCAAACGGAAAGAGAAAGCGCGAGCTATATTATAGCTCTATAAATGAAGCACACAGACTTTATTAGAGCCACAGAAAGACAAACGTTTTGCTGAAAATGCACAATACACAATTCATTATGTACATTAACAACGATTCGGGACTAATATAATGTAATTTAAAGGAAAACTATGTGAATGGCACTCTGTGGCGCGGCAGGATTTTCTGTCGGCTGCATTTAAATCCGCGTCTGAAGTTTCGTGCAGTATCACGTGTCTAAACAAATAGCACGTGCTGTCAGTGATTTCAACCACTAGAGGGCGCTCTCGCACTGTGTAATGACAGCAGACCCTTCTCAGCCGCTCCAGCAACAGACGCAACCCGGAAAACTATCGGCATGGATTTGTCGATAACCGATAGTTCCAGCAATCAACTATCGGTGCAGATTAATCGGCAAAACCGATACATCGGTCGACCTCTACTGTCTATTGTGGTTTTGATAACCATAGCAGTGTCACTTCTTTTAACCTCCATTCATTGTTTCTTACTGGACTTAATTTGGCCAAATGACCTCTCCCCCTTGTGACAGATGAGTGTGGGGCAGCGTGCCAAGCTGACTTGCACTCCGGACTTCGCTTACGGGAGCAAGGGGCACCCGGGCATCATTCCTCCCAACGCAACCCTCATATTTGATGTGGAGCTGATTGGCTTGGAGTAAAGTCCCCACAGTTGGACTCAGGTTATTCCCTATTCATTCTTTCAGGGTAGGTGCAAAGTTTTCCACATTTCTCTTTTGAGTTCATTTGTTGTTGTTACTTGGTATTTAATACATTTTATGACTGCATGTCACCTAAGAAGATATTTTTTTATCATTGTGTATATAGTTCCTCCAGTTGCATGATCACTTTAATAACTAAACGTTAATCTTTAAAGGATATTATTGTAGTCTTGGTCTTAAACGTCCTGTAGAGTTTATTTAACAGGCTCTTAGATTAAACCCTCGTAATCGTATGTATGGCCTTTGAGGAACACTGTTTAGTTGTTTAATAAACCTCTCTCTTTGTTTTCTTCCAGGTCAACCTTTTTAAGGAACATTGCTCCATGCATGTGATCCTCAAAAGGGGCTAGTGTTAATAGCGATAGCTCTGTTTTGCATTTGTATATTTTGTTGCCTTTTATTTCTTTTCTGCTTGACATAATCACTGGTATACTCTCCATTATTGGATGTTCACTAAGACACCGGTTTCTTTTTTTCCCCTTTCCTTCTCTCGTTTTATATTTGATTTCTGTTGTAAACGCGATCACAGCAACAGGGTTGTGGCTGAGCTGGTAACAAGTACTCTGGTGGGGAAATCTGGTTAAGTATAAAGCAAAAACTACTTGAAAATAAATTGTTTATAAAAAGATCAAGCTGGTTTCTGATGTGTTGATTGGGGAAACTGGAATGGTTTGTTTACATGTGCGTTCTTATAATCATGTCAGATGATAGTGGGTCCCTATTTCATATTGTGCTGGGTAGCCCCACCCACATTGAAATCTCATTGGTTGAAATCCCACTCTGCACAACTGAATATTAAACATCAATTTTGTTTTGATTGCCTGTCATGTCACAGCGTTTTGCTTTAAGTGAGGACCGACTAGGACACAGTGTAAGTAAAAGAAAAAGTCATTAGCACAACAGAAGCTTTGTCATTTTAACAAAACATTTTTATTTTCAAAGGGCAATTGAACCAAACAATCCAAATTTACAATTAGGGTTGTGTTGATGGGCTTTGTCTAAATACACAGTCATTTTGTAATGAGGCTCTGCAAGTCAGGATGCGTTCTTTATGTAAATGTCTATTTGAAACAGAATCTTTAAGTTTCCTGATAAAGCTAACTACTAGGAATTATTGTGCTAACATGCATTTTAAGCCCTTAAAATAACCTACTGGAATACCATGATTACAGAGTTTTGTTCTTTTGTGCTACTTCAAAGTAACAAAAGACTTTGCTTTACAAATCCATGAATCAATTGCTAGTATTTTCCTAATAGAGTTTTCTGAAATCTGGATGCATGCAACCTTTAAAGACCCATTTGTTTTCTGAAGTGGTGTGTTATCTTGGGATTAAAAACAAGCCTATTATGACAGTAAATATACATCTTCACAATTACTGTTCTATTTATAAACCGTTGTTTTTCTAATGAATGAATGTTTTGACATGGGTTTCCATCCTCTCTAGTACTATTCACCTGAGTTCCACCTGAGATGGAGTTTAAAAGAACTGAAAAATCTTACCACCCAAAGGACAGATTAATAAAGTTATTTTAGGCCATCACCTTCCATTGCTTTATCAGTGAAATCTGGCATTTGAACACTATTTTCTACAATTCAAATAATTAAATAAGCAAATGAAGCACAGTAAAGCAGTTTCTTTTTGCTCATATTAAGAATACACAGTTGCGTAACCGATAAAACAATTGACACAACTTGAGTAGAAAATTCTAGAATGACATCAGAATAGTAATCCGTAAAACACTCCACATTAGTAAAGACGTTTTCATGTTATAGGATCAACGTTTTAATATCTAATGAGTTATGCATGTTTTTTGGAGATCCAAACAGCAAAGTTGCTGGATGCCTATTGCTTCTTGCACAGTTACCATTTAATAGTATTTTCCCTTTTAAACAATTTTGTCTACATTGTGAGAAATTCTGTTTCTTATGAAATTAGATGGATTGGCACAATGGTTGCTTAGTAACAGGTATGTAAAGGTTTAAAATTTCAAAGTCTAGCCCCACTAATTTGTGTGCGCTATGGACCTGAAATCTCCTCTTCTCATGATCAATTCACACCAATGTCTATGTAACCTACCTGCAAAATTTACATGCAAAGTTTTTTTGAGAACAGGCTTCACTCGAGAAACGAGAACAGAATGAATTCAGTTCAGTAGAACAGTTTACGTAAGAATGATATTTCAAGGCATTTAATTATTTTATTTTTTTAATCTTAAGGCCTAAACTTCTGTACATTTGTGACTTCTCTGCTCAGCAAGGACTCGTGTTTGCAGCTACTTTTGACTGTGTACTGTCTGCTGAGTTTCAGCCAGGAATGAGAGGAAATAAAGCAGATAAGAGAACCAGAAGGAAAAGAAAAACAAATGGTGGAAATGAGAAACAGCCTTAAAACTTGTGTCTGCAAATTAGAGCCACATTCCCTCAATCTTTGTCCCAAACAAGCATTGGTGTGATGGATTTAGACCTCCTTGGTTCAAAAATAAATCAATAAAAATCACAAACTGGGAGATCAAGGACAAAGAGTCCACTCAAGATCCAGTTAAAAGTTTTTGATGGTGCGGTAATGCTAAAGTTATCAGATAGGTTTAGCTCTTCCTGTTCCTGAGGGACTGCGGCCACGTCTTAGAGAGTGCAGAGCAACGGCACAGCAGCCACGCAACAGGGAGCCCATGTTGTACACTGGCATGCCTTCATTCCGTGACCCCCGGCAAAGCCACGCCAGTGTGGGAACTACAGGAACGGTCACCGCTAAGAGGTCAATCAGGAAATAACGGCTCCAGTGGCTCCTCTGAGGGGGAGCTGATTCTCCATCTTCATCATTGACCGTTACTGCCGCTGCTTCCTGTGGCGGTGGCGACGCTCTGGGACAAGGTTGTTGAACCTGTGGCTTCGTCAACACTGTCGGCATTGTTGATGATGTAAATTCAACTGTGCTGTCTAGCGGCAAAGTTTCTGTGATGTAAGACAGCTGAGCAGGGGAAGTAGTTGCAGAGGATGGCGAAAACACCTGCGGTTCAGCAAGAGTAACGTCTGGCGCGCAAGTTGCTGAAGTGATGATGCTCAATTCCTCACCTGCGCCCTCTTCGGAGATCCAGGTTATGGTGGGGCTGCAGGCCTGTGACCGGTACCCTGGCCTGTCACTGACCTCCGATGTACTAGGAGGCGCTGTTGGCGGTGGTGGTGGAGGAGGAGGTGGTGCTTCCTCCTGTGGGAGGTGCAAAAACAAATGGTGGTGTGGGAGGTAGGCATGTGGAGCACAGCTGCAGTTGTTGTTAACAGCATGGCAGGATCGGCTAACGGGCAACACCGTCTCTCCGCTGCACAATCTCTCGCAGGTGGAGGATCGTGACAAAGAGGAGCATAGCGTTGTGTGAGGGACTTGCTCAGACAGTAGAGCTGCTTCCAGAAGTAGATGAGTACGTCCGTCCCCTCTTGGTAACGTCATCGCCCCTCTGTTGGCGGGAATGTAGCGATCAGAACGTACGTTTCCGTTGCGATCTGTAGCACCAGGTGACGTGTCACTGCTCAGCCTGGTGAAGGTGGCGCTGCGACTCATGGTGTGGGCCGGAGAGCAGCCACAAGACCTGGATGCTCCAAATCGTGGGCCTATCCTTCCGACACCTAGACCTTCAGACTTACAGTTCTGTTGATCTGCCTCATGGGCCCCCAGATTGGACCTAACAGTTTCCACAGTCTGCTGAAGCTGCCGGATCTCCTTCCGGGCCTCTTTTAGGGCCAACTGGGCCTCTATGCGATGACATTCCTCCTCAATCCAATCCTCCTGCATCCGAGTCAGCTGCATCCGTAACTCCCCGATCACAGAGTCTCTGCCATGATTAAAAAAAAAAACATGGGCATAGAAATAAATCTAGTGCTGTTGCCGAAAAACGCATACTGTTAAAGGGGTCATATGATGCGATTTCAGAGAAACAATAATGTACAGTATGTGGAAAATAATGTGTTTTTTGAACCTTAAACCGCATAAACACATTTCATTACACCAAATACACAAAATAATGTTCTTTTTAGCATCATCATATGACCCCTTTAAGTAGATACTACATTTGATTTGAAACTTGCTTGACATCCATTAAAAAGTGTGTTCTATATGGTATGAATGTGTGTAGTATGATCATGTTTAATACTATATTTGTAGGCATATTCAAATGCAGGGTAGGTTCTGCTATATACTGTATATAGCCACATGTATGATACTCAGGATGTCAATAAGCTATAAAACTCCACTGACATGTTGTTGAGAGATAAAAGCATTACTGACCTGTCCTGAAGCCTCTCCACCTTTTCTTTCAGCCGAGCTCGTAAGTGACGAATACACACTTCCTTCTGCTGCAGTGGGGTGAGATACTGCTCAGGAGCAGGCGGACGGATCCCATAATTCTCACTACAGGTTGCATACTTTACCTGCCGTCTGGGTCAGAGAGCGAGATATAAATCATATTTAATTGTGATTAATCTCATAATTTGAATATAGTTAACAGTCCTGATAAGGCCCACGTGTAATTGTTAGGTTCGGCAACTGGTGCGACACTCACAAGTGTAAATGTATGCAATAAGGATCTTTACCCTTCTCATTTGCACAAAAATCAACAGATTATAAATTTCTGCTGAAGAGACAATTACGGAAGCCCTACGAGGCAATGCATTAGCTTTTTTTTTCTTTCTTGTTCTCTTGTGATCACACTCACAGCTTCATTTTCTTGTGATCACGATATAACAAAATAGCAATTACTTCATGATTTGTCCATGTACTTGACAAAAGAATGTAATGCAAAAGCATCATCAATGAACTAACTGAAGCTGAAATAGCTTTACGTGTGTGAGTGACTGCCAACTTCCACAGCAGTGGACTCTTGAGAAGCTGTCAGGGCTACAATTTTATTGTCAAAGACAATATAGCGACCCTGAACATGTGGTCAGTTTTTTTACCAGGCAAATTAACAGACTGGGGCATCTCCATCTCTACAGTATGCAACTTGCAATAGCATTGACATGGACATCAACTTGCACATAACACCATTCACAAAAATTAAAGATAAAATTACGCCAAATGCAACTGCGAAAGGTTAGATTTTCAGTGAATCACAGCTATTTGTATGACTTAAGCAGACTTGGAATATAATGTGTGAGTACTACGAACTACTTTTATGGTCTTTCTTTGTCCCTTTTTTTTTGCCCTACTCCCCATTCACTTTCATATAGAAAAGAGCAGCCCATACATTCTACAAAATACCTCCTTTTGTGTTCCACAGAGAAAGAAAAACAAGTTTGGAATAACATGGGAGTGTGAGAATAATAAGAGATCTTTATTTTTGTGTGAACTATTCTAATACACATAATTATCTCCGTATTTTAGAACTTTTGAATATCCGATTAGGACACAAGTAACCAGACTTTTAAATGGATATAGTGTCATGTCAGTTCCATTAATTCTATTTTTGCACTGTACTTTTTGCCACCATACAAAATCTGGAACACGACCCTGATGGAAGACAAATCTAATCTGCCTTTGAGTGTGTGTGTCGCTCACCGTGGTGTGGCTGGGTTGGAGCGTGCTGCAGTATTGCTCTCTGTGCACTTGCAGGACACTGCTGAGTAACTGCTACGGACAGACGAGTCCCCATGCGAGTGTCGAGTGCTGCTTGGGGCAGCAGGCCTTCTGTGACACACACACACACACACAGACACAGACAGTGACAGGTGAGCTCTGACGTCCATATCAAACAGGCTGTCACAGTGAAACTTTTTACACTGGAAAACTGGATGTGTTTTAAAGGAATTCAAACTACTGCCACTGAATGAATATACCACATCATAATAATTAGGCTAGAAAACTTTCCATGTGTTTGATTGTGTGTGTTAAAGGGGTCATATGATGCGATTTAAATTTTTCCTTTCTCTTTGGAGTATTACAAGCTCTTGGTGCATAAAGAAGATCTGTAAAGTTGCAAAGACTAAAGTCTCAAATCCAAAGAGATATTCTTTATAAAAGTTCAGAGTCAGCCATCCACACAAGATGCTGGACCCCGCCCTGTCCGAGGACCCAGCACACTCGTCCGAAAACCCCAGGTGGTGCGCCATGCTTGAGGAATGAGAGGCCCGCGGAGACGTACTCGACGGGGAAGCTCTCACCGTAACCCTCAGGTCTCCCTGACCATGAACCGAAGTAGCCCTCCGAGAACCGGAGGAGCTAGAGCGGGGCATGGCAAGGGGGATACCCCCCCCGTTTAATGAGGAGGTATCTAGGCCGCAACGTCGCGATGGTCATGTCCCCTTTTTTTTTCTTCTTTTTTTTCTTTTTTTGCACTGAGAACATGACTCATCCATGAGCGCTGCTTCAGCGTGCTGTAAGCCCAGGCACGAGAGGCAGCGATCATGACCATCAGAAGGAGGCAGGAAACGACCGCATCCAGAAACACACGAGCGGGAAGCCATCTTTAAAAAGACGCCCGTCGCTCGTGAAGCTCTTTTAGAATGGAAAAAATACTCTTTTAGAGAGAGCGCTGAAGCGCCCAGGGGAGGTCGCAGCGAGACCGCAGAATGGAAGCTGCAGCACGCTGAGGTTTGTAGCAGCACTGGATGGCAACCCCCGCTGACACGCCGTAACACCAACGCCAGCTGTTTCCAGTAAACACTCGCGGAGATTCGTCCTGTAGAGGCTCGGCTCCGAAGCGAAAAGCTGATCTGAAGCGCCCAGGGGAGGTCGCGGCGAGACCGCAGAATGGAAGCTGCAGCTCGCCGAGGTTTCAGCAGCCTGGATGGCAACCCCCACTGATACGCCGTCACACCAACGCCAGCTGTTTCTCTAGAACACTCGCGGAGATTCGTCCTGTAGAGGGCTCGGCTCCGAAGCGAAAAGCTGATGTGCGTTTGCACGCGCTCTCCTTGTATACCCGCGCTGCGGGGCGGGGTGCGTGTGACGAAACACGCACGCCAACTGTCATTGGCTTGTTTAGTTAACACTCGAAGGGGATTGGGCTCTCGGGCGAGATCCCAATTCGTCAGTCACGACTGACGTAACGTCGAACGTGACTGACTGAAAGGGAACAATAATGTACAGTATGTGGAAAATAATGTGTTTTTTGAACCTTAAACCACATAAACACATTTCATTACACCAAATACACAAAATAATGTTATTTTTAGCAACGTCATATGACCCCTTTAAAAGAGGACGAGAGCATTACCTGCGGGAACCAGCAGATGGCTTTCGGCTTGCAGAGTGGGACATGGGTGAGGACTGACACCTTGTAACGGCACAATGACAAGGATTCCTCAGGACAGATCTCTCTAAGACACACACACACCATAATCAGGGGAAAAAAACACATTTGAATGACACAATATTAATCTCTTGGTACTTAAAGGGAAAGGGACCTTTTTTAACAGAACACAAAAGGGTCAGATTATATTTTAAGAGACTATGGCTCTTAAAATATAATCTTATTCACTCTTACTGTATGAAAAAGAACAGTGTGAAGATTCTGGTAAAAATCCTTTTGTGTTCCATAGAAGAAAGTCATGAGAGTTTAGAATAACACAAGGGTGAGTGAGTATAAGTGAGTATAAGTTGCTGGTTGGCCATTTGATAGGCACAAACACAAGTGTTTTTTTGGAGACTCTGTACCCTTGCATCCCGTTAAAATACCAAATCCAAAAAGACACATGCCAGACAATATTAGATTCCCACAGATGCTGAACAGAATCCAACAGAGAGCATTTCATTCTGCATGCCAAGTGACTCACAAGAAAATAAATGCTTATGTAAACCAAGCATTCAGAACAATAAACAAAATGACCTAGACAAAGTCACACACACACACACACACACACACACATACAGCACAGATGATGGATTCATTCACACTTTGAACTGAGCTATTCACACACTCACAGAAACATGCATTGTCTCTCCAGTGCATGAAATGGTGACGAGTGACAAAAGTGTGTGTGGGTGTGACTGACGTAACACTGGCAGCCATGACAAAGCTGGTGTTAACTATTGATTCATGTGCTTCTACATTATTTTAATGCATATTTTGTAATTGGAGGCATGGCGATTATTACTAGAGCTGATTGCCCTCTTAAGATGCATTCTTAAATGTGCTTGCACTCTGAATGTTTTGTAAGCCTGAGGAGGGTCAACTGACTCAACTGTCATTTAAATATTGTTTTATTATTATGCAAACTTGTATAGTGTGTGGCCGGGATTTATATTTTTCTAGTTTATAATGCACATTTGATGAATTATTTGATTAATCATAACTGTCCTCAGTCGTCTGTAAGGTGTTGATAGTGACCTCTTTGGAAGCGGTTTTACAATGTTAAGATTATGTTTAGAGCTGAGAATACATCTCTAAAAAAAAAGGGCTTATTTCTGTTCATCATGTGCACAATGACCAAAAAAAAAAGCTTTTTCTAGCATGACCCAGTTCTGATATGCTGAGGAGTCTGCACTGTCATCATTAAAAAATAAATAAATACATTTCATAAACATTCAGTATGTAAAATAACATTTCCTGACATTACTTCCGCAACAAATAAGCAGAAAGTGTATGACATTTGAGTTGACTTAGTATATTTAGCCCCCGAGAGCATCTGTCAGGCAGCAGGGTTCAGTTCAGGACATCACATAAGGTCTGCGCCACAAGTCACATGAACAGAGACACACACACTATATCTGCAGTTGCTGGTGTTATATACAGATTGAGACTAGGAATCCATATGTTCCAAAGCCGGCCCAAACAGTCAAAATCATTGCAACTTTCAAGACACATATTCGCTCCCTATTGCTCACTTTCATCACTGTTCTGGTCTGCATTTCTCTGAACAATCTCAAACTGTATTGCAGCACTTCTTATGTTACTATGGATGAACCGTTCATGTTGCTCCCCTTTTTTGTAATTTTAGATACTGAACTGTCTACTAGATTAATAAACGTAAATACAAATACAAAATACAACTGGAGTCTGAGACTACACTGAAATGTAAAAACTGAATTTAAACCTAGAAATGAAGAAGACATTTCAGACATTTCATTTTGAAAAATAAACCTACACGAAATGCTATAGTCATATAAATATGAAATATTTCTGCACTATTTCTAGATGTCTAATCAAAGTAAATTTGTGATGCTGATCGTACAGACGGTCAGAGGTTCTTTAGAACATCTCAAATCTAAATTCATGTTCAATTTGCATTTGAACTTAAATTGTTTTGATGACAATATGCTGTGTAAACAGAAATACAAATTAAATTTGAAAAATGTAAAATAGAAGCATTCTCACTAGCAGCATTATTAGTGTCAGAAATAAACATTGATTTAATTTTCAGCATTTTTAAAATGTTTTTTTTTTTCTAACCATGTAAAACATTTTATATGAAACTAAAAGATCTCCATTATGACATATACTTCAGTTGAATCAATTAAATGGAAACCATTTTTAAAAATGGTCTGGTCTTTATATTATAAAAAATTAAAATATTTTAATGCTGCCAAAAGTTTTTTTCTTCTTCAAGTTTTGGATTTCTACCCAGCGTTTTAAAAGCAGATTTTATTTTCATTTGACATTAGCATATTCAACAACACTTGCCTCACAGCTCATCGTTTTCTACAGAGACCCTAAGCCCATGGCTAGATAGGCCTAGGATAGATAGATAGATAGATAGATAGACAGACAGACAGACAGACAGACAGACAGACAGACAGATAGATAGATAGATAGATAGTTATTTTTGCCCTCACATTTGAAATATCTGGGACATATCTTAAGTTAAGTCTGGTTAAGTCTGCCTCACAGGGTTGTACTACAATATAACAAGCAAATAAACGATCAACGATATCGCGTTTGGTCTCGTTCTGTATCGCGAATCTCGTCAGTGTCAGCGCTTGCTTGGCCATTTGTTGCGAAGAAAATAAGGAAAGTGTGTCCAGCTGAATTAATTTAGTATGTTGTTAGACGGGCATAAAAAAAGCTTAGTTTACCGCAGCAGCGGTCGCGTGACGGCCTCCTCGTGTGAAGACCGAAGAGTGTAAAGACCATCGACTCTACCGTGCGACTCCACCGTGCAGGACACCGGCAAAGGAGAAGTATCGCTTTTTAGTTCTCCTCTTTCCTACTACTTGTTTCACTTCTGTTTCAGTTTTTATAACCATTTCTTACTATGTGTAAGTAAGTTGTTGTTTTTTAGCATGTAAGTTTGGCAGTGTTATTTTTTAGGATTACTGATAAACTACTGTCGTTTGATTTGTATTATTTGTATTTGTTATTTATTTTAATTTTAGTTACATTATGTCTGAATTCATTATTTGTCTGTATAAGTTTTTAGTTTGATTTAATTTGAGTTATTTTAATACTTCAAGAAACTAAACTGAAATGAAATGATATATATATATTGAATTTATAAATGTGTATGTACATATACAGTATATATGTATGTGTGTTTGGCTTAAGTGTTATGTTAGAATCATTATTATACTCATACCTTTTGTTCTTTAATATTTTGAATTGTTTTTAGCTTTATTTTTTTGTTTTTCATTTAAATGTTAAGTTTTGAAATTTTGTTGCATGCATTTGTCACTTTTATTTAATCTCTTTATTTTTCAAATGTGTATAGGTAGTATTTATAAAGTTTTAGCTTTTAGTTTTGGATCTGTTTTTAGTTGTTTTAATACTACAATTGATTGCTTCTGTTGTCCTCATTTGTAAGTCGCTTAATAAATTACTAAATAAATAAAAAATAAAGATTACATTTTTGTTTACAAGAATGATACAGTTTCCTAGATGCACAACTTGCATGGTTTCAGGAGCGGGCCATGACGTCACCTCCCCCATAGGGTGCAGGTAAATCGTCCCTGTGTAGTAAAGGGCACGAGCTGTCTTATGTAACAGTATCGTACATCAGCAGAACACTCTTCACCGGTCTGAGACTGAAACGCGGCGCTGCAACAGTGCGTCGTTGACTTTCTTCAGCGTAAAACTATATTACATAATACGCCTAGTGTATAGAAACCGTAGTAGGCTGAGAGACGGTTACACCAATCCTTTAAGCACCTGATATAGTTTATGAAAGAGCTGTAAGTCGAGAGAATTCATGACAGAGAAGAGTGAACCGGGATGAATGTCACTTACACGCTCTGCTCTTCTTCCGTCGACGCTGCTTTGCAGTATCCCAGTGAAGTTTGTGCATGGATGTTGGCGGTGCCCTGCGCGCGGCGTCATTTCGCCCGAGTCGTTTGATGGACGGATGCTGATGCTGATGCTGATGCTGATGCTGCTGCTGATGCTGATGCTGAGCGCGCGCGAGACCTGCGAAAACAGAAACGACGCATTTGCGCGACGCTGCAACGGCGTTTCTTAAAGGGACTGAGACCAACTATTCAAAATAGTAATGGTTATATCATCATCAGAGACGCAGAACTGTAGTCACAACAATTTCTGTTTACAGATTATGAGCACAGATTACCGAATCTCTCTTTAGTGGCTCTGAGCATTTAAAGCGTTAGTTCACCCCAGTGGCGACTGCTTTAAGACAGCTTCCTCTGAAATGCACTCTTTATGATTAAATCTGACCCATTGCCGTTCATTAATGGGAGTCTATGGCAATTGCTTCAACCGATTTTACTGGAGCAAGTATGAATGTTCACTAGACAAGATCGAGGCCACTGAACACTGAGATGTCAGAACACACAAAGAAAACAACGTATGTGTGTTTCATGTTTTCTCAACTTCACTTTGAAATAAAGATAACATATATCTAGTAGTGTATACATTTACTTACTCTCTTTGATATAAAAATACAAATTATTGTGATAGCCTACATATATTTTTTTTAGCGTCTAAAACATTTAATTAGTTTAAGTCCCTTAAACTTTTACATTGGAGCTACACATCTTTTAAAATGTAAAGCATATGCCCTAATCATGAGACTTATTCCTTGGAGGAAAAAAAAAACCGTCAAATTTTTCTCTCCTTTAAGACTTAATTAATAGCGTAAAATATAGCATGCCATGTCCTCCCTGTTGTGTCAATTTATACCGGACATGAAAATATTAAAAATCAACCCATGTAGTATGATACAGGAGCATAGGAGGAAAAAACATCCATTTTATTCAGAGGCCAAAGTGAGCAAAAATATGCAATTTGGTGCAGTTGCTGATATGGCCAAAAATTAAGATGAATTTCTGATAGCTTGTAATGTAAATCATTATTTATAACAGTGTAACATACTACTTACATAAAATACATATACATATTAGTTGTCACTCTATAACTTCCAATAATATGTCTAAGTTATATTTAAACTCTTAGTTTTATGATCAAAGCTCTGTAGTTTTTATTGTGTGGGCAAAACTTATAATGCAGTGCAATGATGAGAGATGAACAAATAAACGTCCTTAGCCTGATTTATCATGTTTGATATTCATATTTTAACAAGACCATGAAAAAACATGTATGGATAATTTCATAGAATAGTTGCTTCAGTCCAGTAAAAGTTCATCTTGAAATACTACTAACAAAATGAAAATTATTCTTACACTGTCAGAGCTAAATATAGCATCATCCCTTATTCACACATTTTACAAGAGCACCCAGAACATCCTTCTAAACTTTTCCTTTAGAGTTTGTGAAATTATGTTTGGAACAACAAGAGAAACAGTCAATTATTATTATTTAGTTTTGCAATATTTATTTGATTTGTACATTTAATGGTCTCAGGGATTGGGTAAAAAGAACATACAGGTCATATTAATCAACACAGAGAAGAACAGTTTTTGGAACATACCTATTATTACATTAAACTGTAAGACGAATAGACAAAGACCTATTCAGGCTTGAGTTTCAATCCATGCCAACTGACTTTTCAAGTAATGAACAAAGATTTAGTTAATTTAGTTCATAAAAATTGGTTAAACTGAAACAATCATATTAATGGCCATTTGATATTTTGTGTGCTGCTCTACGGTCATTTTTAACCATAGCCCAGCTCATACAGATCTGACTATTATATATATATATATATACTATATATTTTTGAGAAACAGTATAACACTATACAGACACATTTCATAGATCAGACACACTTTTTAGCAGGTCTCTATGGGAATTTATAACCCAATGTCTAAATATTTACAGAAATCCATCAAATTTGCTTCCAACCAAGAACGTGTATGACACTGCAAAGCCCTTTAATGAGCTCTAAGGTCTCTAAAGGTTTTCCCTCCGTTGCTTCATGGCTGTTCTAGAGGGAGGAAAAGAGAGGCCCAGGTGTGGCCATGACGTCACTGTATGGGGCGCTCTGGTGCAGGTTGAGGATTTGTTGTTTCCTCAACACCAGCAGGCAGAAAAATATGGCTGCCACATATGAACGATTGCTGCTCTCACATAAAGCATGCAGACTGTACACGGCATTGGGAGAGGAGTCTTGTCTCTGAAGAGAAACGAGAAGTTACAGCAAGTTAACTCCTAAAACGTGCATATTGCATATATACACAATTTTTTTCTGGCCAAAATATATTTTAATTACTGTATATGCTAAATTTATGCTGTGAGGTTCAATGAAATATATTTTTGAAATTTAAAATAAATTTAATTTTTTTAAACTTTATATACTAAAATATAGTTCTAAATGCATTTCTGGGACAATAAAATACATTTCCAATCTTACAGTAGCCTACATTTAGGCGTTATTCATTATTTTTTATGTGTTATAAACAACAAATTTATTTTTATGTAGCACTAAGTATGTTTGAAATACTTTAAAAATATATTTTTTAAATATACACATATATTTGTAGAAAATATTAAATATATTTTTAGAGATTTTAGTGATTTTAGACATTTAGTATATATTTATATTGAAAAATATATCTGAAAATTGCTGTATGGGATCAAATAAAGTTTGTACAGCTCAAAAGATGTCTATAAAACATTGTTATTCAATACACCTGAGATATCTAAGTCCAAAAAAATGATACATAATGATTAAATAACAAATATGATAATATTTTCAATGTACAATCCCAAAAGAGGCAAACTTGACTTCTGCCTATTTGGTGGCAAGTAAAAAAAATGTGTGTCCTGACTACCTTGTTTTCTAACTTTTGAAGTTACTGGCATGATTAATAAAAATGCTGAAACATTCCACTAGTAATATATTAAATTGTCTAATTTCTACAGAAGTACTTTTAAGGACCAATCTTTTGTTTTGACTATGTTTTTGAACCATCTGTCTGACCGACATGAAAACTGACCAATCACAGTTTGTTGTGCTTTTACACAACAAAACTTAACAATAAAGCAGAATATACACTTCTATTTGTGGACATCTACTTCAAAGTTTAATAACAACATCCTGTCGTTCTGCAAATCCAGTCATTAGTTCTCCCACCACAGTTCAGTTGTCACTGTATCAGCCTGGTATCTTGTAAATATGACTTTCCAGGCAGACTGGTGCACCCCAGCGCCCTCAAGTTGCATAAAGTCGACTGGGACTGACTGGAACTAGCACTTTCAGACCGATCCTGCCATGTTTGTGTATAATATACATCAGATAGTCAGTGTAGGTGGTGCCTTCTAAGACACATACTGTCCAAACGACCATCTTGGACAAGATTATATTTCATATAAATCACAGAACCACTGATCTATATAATATCACGATTATAGATCAGTGTAAAGAACATATTTAAAATTTATCACATATGTGACCCTTAAGACGGTTGGGTATTTTTTTAGCAACAGCCAAAAAAACACTGTATGGGTCAAAATTATCGATTTTTCTTTCATGCCAAAAATCATTAGAATATTACGTAAAGATCATGTTCCATGAAGATATTTTGTACATTTCCTACCGTAAATATATCAAAACTTAATTTTTGATTAGTAATATGCATTGCTAAGAACTTAATTTGGACAACTTTAAAGACGATTTTTTTCAATATTTTGATTTTTTTGCTTCCTCAGATTCCAGATTTTCAAATAGTTGTATCTCAGTCAAATATTGTCCGATCCTAACAAACCATACATCAATGGACAGTTTATTTATTCAGCTTTCAGATGATGTATAAACATCGATTTCAAAAAATTGACCCTTATGACTGGTTTTGTGGTCCAGGATCACATACCACAGAGCTTTAACACCTGGTGTTGTCACTGTGAGTTTATGCCCTTAAGCCTGCTGCTCTCATTTAATTTCCCACTCTCTTAATTCTTCACTTATAATTCCTCATCTACAGCTGCTCCACACGCCAGGCCAGATCAGCATTAACACTCTCTGTGGTGGATTTGGTGTTTGATTATGCCTTACTTTGAGGGCCTGGAGGAGGTTGTGTGCCCGACTGGTCATTCTCTTATCCTCCACATCCTGGCTGTTCAGAGCAGACTGCAGACAAAGGGAGGAGGTCAAATGTTACACACACATCAGTCTCTTCTGCTCACCAAGGCTGCATTTACTTGATCAAAAATACAGTAAAAACAGTAATACTGAGAAATATTGTTACAATTAAACACAACAGTTTTTATTAGAAAAATGTAATTTAGTTCTGTGATGTAAAGCTGAATTTTCAGCATCATTACCCCAGTCTTCAGTGATCCTTCAGAAATCTTTCAATTATGCTGATTTGCTGCTCAAGAAACATTTCTTACTAATGTTGAAAACAACTGTGATGCTTCATATTTTTTTGGAAACTGCAAATTTTCAGTATTTTTTAATGAACAAATTTAAAAAAGAACAGCATTTATTTTAAAAAGAAATTTTCTGTAACATTCTGTAAGTCTTTACGGTCACTTTTAATAAATTTGATGTGCCCTGATGAAAAAAAGCATTGACCTCAAAAATAAAACGTACTGACCTCGAACATTAGTGTATTAGGGCTGTCAAAATGGCTGAAAAACTAAATTCGAATTTTGTACTTAAATATGATCAAAATTCGAATTATATTTGAATTTAAAATGCATAATTTCAGTTAGGGGGAAAAAAAGCTTTTGGCTTCTCTTCTGAGGCCACAAGAGGGCGCATCGAGCAAAATATTACTAATGCACGTTTATTCAAAGCATACGAAAACATGACTATCTGTGAAAAAAAGTGCATAATGTTTAAAATAATGTTTATAAACCAATTATAATTAAGTTGCTTAAACAACTATAAACAAAACAGCATCATGTATGTATTCATAGTTTAATACAAAGGTCCGAAAGCCAATCACACAGAATACATTTTTCATTTAAAAACACGAGTTGCAGTGGGATGGGGAAAACCCCCCGCCATAAGTCTCCAG